CTACTATTCTTCTCTCTCTCTCTCTCTCTCTCCTCTCTCTCTCTCTCTCTCCCTCTCTCTCTCCCCCGTTCTCCGTATCTACGTCTATCTCTCTCCCTCTTTCTCTCGTCGACACATACCGGGAATGTCCGCGCGGCCACTGACTCGGCCCCCGTTTAGTTTCCCGCTTTCTCGACGTAGGAGGACATATGTGCTTCGACTTCGCTTTGAATGCAGTTAGTTCGCAGTTGTCGCACAGCACTCGTCGCGATTGTACCTTCCGCCTTCGGGAAGTTTCAGGGTAACGATGTTCGCCGTTGCAGCGAGAAAGGTACAAGATATCGACATGATTCCGATTTCTGATTGACGGGGAATTGGTTTTTGAAGTTAAGTTTCATCCGCGTCAATTTCTCCGAGAGAATGTGAACTAAATTTCTAATATAATTAAGAAGTAAAATACCTCGAATTTTCTATTCGCGCTGGTCGTCACGCGCTCGTGAATACCCCGTTTCGAGTTTCGGCTCCCGAGTGTGCTCGTAAAATTTAAGTCCAAAACCGTGACTTGGAATGCAACTGATAATATATGATATACTATATAATTAGTTTTGTTATAATTAACAAGCGGATGTTGCTAAACATATAATATTCGTCATACATTCCATTAATCTCATCTACGGACATGTGAGCAATAAAGCTTAGCACGCGACTATTTATTAGAATTCCTCACTTAGTTCACGCCGTGCATAATTTACGTTTATTCATTGACATTCTGCTTCGGAGCTTAACCATTCCTGCTTCCCATCATGGAGAGCTTGACGGATCGTGAAGCATAATTGTCGATCCACTTTGCACCTCTGAGCGTATCGACGTGATATCGTCACTCGGACGTTTGTCACCCAATATCTATTTACAGCAATGGGATTTGTCTAATTTTAGAAACTCTTGCCTTGAAATCAAAATACCTCGAATTTAAATAGAAATCCGCGAGTAATTTGTCGTGATATTAATTCGATGGAATTTGCGAGGAAAACAACAGTTTAGAAATCGCTAATGCGTTTCCAGTGTTTCGTTAATAATTTTTACTTTTTTTATCGACAAGTCGATTACACGTAGGATAATCAGAATCGAAGTTCACGCAAAGAGTATATCTTAAAAAATAATTGTAACGTCACTCGCTAAATTTTAAACTTCAACCGACTTGCGAGTTTGACTTACGTTTCGGTAAGATACTATTTGCAACGATGCGCTTGTGAATTAATAATAATAATTGCTCGGTTAATTCCCGAAGGAAAAGGATTATAGTCCCGAGCAGTACTCGTGTACTCTCGAAGATTGGAGATGCACCCCGTTGCGAATTACCTCTCCCCCCCCTTCTCCTCCTCTATTCTCTCCCCTTATTTGTGTATACTTCTCGTCTTTGCGAAAGAGATTTTTCTCCCTAATTTTCTATGTTTCTTGCGATACTCCAAAAAGCTCTTTACGCAAATCTAAAGAAATTTTCAAGTTTAACTTGGGCTCAACCATCGAATTGCTCGGTGTTCGGGAGAGACACTTAACTTTTAACATTTGCGTTCATGTGTACAATTCCGCTTTTCGTTGATAATTTACTTGCCGAATTTCCGGGGAACTTGGAGCGCACATCTGCGCCCATACCCTCGTTAGAGGCACTTTCAAAGGATAAAGTTGTTTCGCTGCTGTGAGTGACGCGATCCGTAAAAATTTCTTAATTGGCGGACTTGCACAATGGCCGCCAATTAATATTTGCTCAGCCGCGTACGTAAACGGATCGTCGGAATATTTCTCTCGACCATTTCAATCGGCTTCGAAATGAACGAATTCTCAATTCGACGCCAAATGCCACAAGAATGCTGCACGGGCGTATGGAGATTTCTATTTTTATTTTTTATTTACGAGACGCACGTCACGCTGAAATAATGTGCAATTAACTGCGTTCCTACGTATTCGTTTACACGCAATTATGCCTTCGATGATCAGCGATGCGTGATACGCGTGCTTGCGTGCGCTGCCCACCGCGCCATTGTAATCCAAAATGAAAGCCCATGGGTTGCACGAGCCCATTTTTTTCTCGATAAGTCAATTATCTGCTAATAATAGCCTATCGATTGAGGCAGATACGGCTAAGTAACGTAGATGGAAAAGAGAGAATAAAATTGATGTTCCGGGACGGATTGCGACGCGATGTAC